AAAGTAGAAAAGGGACATAATTTTTAAAACATTTTGGCAAAACATTTTGTCATGTTATTAACAAAAAAGAGATAATTTTATAAAAGTGCCTTCCATTGTTTCTAGTGCGTGTCTTGTCCGGCACAAAAATCCCATTTAATTAAGGTTTTTTCAATGTTATATTTTGTGAATATTGATTTAATTAAATTATAAAGACATCCGTTAACTTATTGCAATTTGATCCGTTGGTTGCAGGCAGAAAGTTGTGCGCCTGCAATTTTTTGCTGCACAATATATCTTTATAAAAAGAGACAAAAAAGAAGACCGTGTTTAAAATTAATTTAAAACTGACATTTATATAGCAATGTCTACCTGTATCAAGCTGTCTTACTTGTTACATGTTAACGGGTGTGATAACAGGTGTGTTTATATCTGTGTCAAGTGAAACGTTATGTCACAGTTACCTCGTCGAAACTGCAAATTTTATTTCTGTGCATATTTAATAACTTTAAACATATATGTTGATGTTTTTAGGGAGAGTAGCTTTAACGACAACGTGAAGGATTAGAATACGTTCAACAAAGTCGTTGTTACCATAGAAAGAACAGGTGAACTTTTTGTAGTCAGAGATTATTTTTAAAGAAATTTCCTAGAATTATTTAAAAATTCAGTAATGTCTGATTAGATCATAATTTCAAATAAAGTACTGCCTGTGGTGCGCTATATTGAATATCCCGTAGTATCTCTCATATTGACAGGGCGTATCTTTCATTTTCAAGAAAAAGTCATTTTAACACCACGCTCTATTTTCTTTTTAATTTAACCCTCTGTATAAATCACATATATTACTACCTAAGAACAGGTTTTAACATTGTTGCAGATAAATCACGTGAAGCAGTTCCAAACAAAGTTTTGAGTATTGCTCCAAAGTTCCATAAGTATAATAATTTGACAATGAATAATTAAATCCTTTCACGCAAAATATTTATACTAAAAGAAATTTGTCCTATATTAAGATTATTTTCCAAAAGTTTAATAAAGAAATTCTCATTACATTTTCTATGAATGAACTTGTATACTTGACTTAAAAGAGTCTTTCTCTGATTTGTATTTTAGAAGATGCAACAACAACAACAACAAGACACGTAACATATATATTTTGTTAAATCGTATGCAAAAAATCCTTTTCGACTTGATGGATCTTCATATGTAAATTTAACAGTCTTGTTTTTGTATCTTAATTACTTTTCCTTTTTATTATCTACATTACTCTTTGTGTTGTAACTGTTAAATCAAATAGACATTAAATGGAAAATTGGCTTTTTAATGTTAGAGGTTTGTAAAATTATTTTAAAAAGGAAGGAAGTTTTGGCGACATTTACAAAGGTATGATATGTCTAAATCAAAACATAAATTTAGATGCAAATCGATGTCTGAAATGGGCATGAAATTTGAATGTACGGACTTTTCGTCAGTGGAAATACTAATTAAAGTGCATGTGTATGCTTTTTAATTCACAAAAAAATTAATTGCAAGAATAAAACATATACAGAAATAGTTTGTGGGAAATATAGCTGAAAATGACTGTGAATTAACACGTATTTATGATCCAAACTCATCTCGGAAAAGTGATTTCCTTTGTGCGAGGTTGCAAAATTGTAGTGTTCTGCAAAATTTAAATAATATGTAATATTCTGGAGGTATATTTCAAAGCAATATACCGATAAATTATTATGTGAAATTATGGACTATAAATAAAGGCTTTTGGAAATGCAGGTATTGTGCATTCTTTACCGACAGACGTCAATTTTTTCATCATATTAAAGCAAAATTGCGGGCGCCATTTTTCTAGAATATGGACTATACACCTTTAAAAAAAACTTCTTTAAAACTAATTATTACAGATTGTATAACACAACGAAAACACAGTAAATACTGAATAACTATAAACTGCTTATAATGACTTAACGTTCACTTAGTACGCTCTTTAGTGTATCTAAAAACACCTCGCGATACATCATTTCATTAATGTTCGATAAAATTTTACCTGCAGAATCAGAAATGTGTGAAAATAAAAGTTTTGATAGTTTAAATGTTAAATGTTATTAGAACCACGAATTAAGTGAACATTTTGTAAGTCGTTTAAATTGTAACAATGTAAATGATTAATTAATTAGTATGGCTGAAAACATAGTGCTAATAGTGATAATAGTAATTTTGACGCATGTTTGTGTAATTTTGAAAGCATTATAGATAGCGGAGCGTCACATTGGTTTAAAGAGTGTGTTAAACCGATTGTAAATGCAAAATTGAATGTGACAACTAAAAGTAATTGTGTACAGAGGAATGTAATACAAAAAGAATATATTTTTACTTTGTTTAAATAGTTTCCGTAATAATCTATGTGATGTAAATAGAATAAATATGGTAAAAGTAAGATTAGATTATAAACTTTTAAGATCATGACGGTATGATTTTGATTAGCAGAAAACAAGTGAATTCCAAAATTGCGTGATTAAAGAATCTTCAGGTGTAAGAAATGCAAATATCCCACTGTCAGTTTTGGAGAGATACTTAAAGCTGTAAATAATCAGACAAGGTAAATTTAGATTTTAGTAACAGATATAAGAATAATGAGTTCAAGGTCATGTTTGAAGAGCTAAATATGGAACTTTCAAAGGACGAAATAATAGCAGCAATTAAGAAATGAAACTGAAATCGTTCAGTCGGACCGGAGTTATTAGTTAAAACTTAATTATTAAATTATGGTAGTAAAGTTATGGGTCAAAGTTTTAGCCAGTCGATTGAAAGAACACACTTATAGTTTTGTAAAGAGGTTTTAGGTGTTAAAAACAGCACGACTTCATTTATTTATTTAAAGATGTTATATTTTTGATCCTTGAAGATCAATCAGCACGACATTATTGTTTGGAGTGCATGTTTTGGTACTTTTAGGTTTTTTCCAATTTGGTGTTTTTTCCAGTGTGGTGGTTCCAGTATTACTCTTTCGAATACTGTTGACTAACCCTTAGGATATGTTGCCTGCTTTTTAACTTTGTGAGCATATCTGTGATATTCAGGTTTCATAACCTCAGATCCCTCCAAAATTCCATTTTATTTAGTATTGCCCGTTGTTTTCTTGTTTAGGGTACACGCATTTTTATGCTCCCCGAAGGGAGAGTATATAGTCGCCATCTTGTCCGTCCGTCTGTCCGTCCGTTGTCTTGTCCGGAGCACAACTTGAAAACCCTTGGAGATAATTTGTTAAAACTTCATAAAGTGGTAGAGGGCATTGAGGGGGAGTGCAGTGTCAAAGAACCATAACGCTATTTTGCCCGTTTTTTTTAAATCTTGTTTGCCTAATTTTGGAGTTATTGCCCTTTGTTAATTTTAACACTTTGAACTTTGTCCGGACCATAACTCTAAAACTATAAGAGATATCAAGATGAAACGTTGTAGATAGATAGATCTCATTGAATTAAAGTGCAATGCAAAAGAACCATAACTCTGTTAAGCCTCATTTTTGAATTATCTCCCCTTTTAGAAAAATCTTATCCAGGACGTAGCTGTAAAACTATATGAGATATCAACATGAAACTTTGTAGGTAGATATATCTCAATGGGAAGATGTGCAGTGCGCAAGAATCATAACTATGCCATGCCTAATTTTGGAGTTATTACCCTTTGTTTATTTCTACTTTTTGAGCTTTGTCTGGGACATTACTCTAAAATTTTAGAGATATCACATGAAACTTTGGTGGTAGATATATCTCATTGAGTAAAAGTGCAGTGCAGCAAAAAAACATACCTCTGTTTTGCCCAACTTTTGAATTATCTCCCCTTTAAAATAATCTTGTCTGGGAAAAAACTCTAAAACTACAAAAGATATCAACAGGAAACTTTATAGGTAGATGGATCTCAATGGGTAGATGTGCAGTGCACAAGAATTTGAACACAATAATAATCTTACCTTTGTCCTGTTTATAATAATGTTGTCAGTTTCATTTATTGGCAATCAGCAATACATTTGTCAAAGTCCATTTACAAGTATAAAACAAGAAATGTCGAACGACACATATACCCCCCTTCCTAGCCCTTGACTCACATTATTGGTAATTTTTTTCTAGAAATAAATGGGTACATGGAAGTGTTCAGTTATGGAAAAAAAGAAAAATAATGAAGACTTTGTGATAAATAGTTTTCAAGATAATGAGAAATTTAAGGCCCCTGTGATCTCGACCTTTAAACTAGTTACCCAAAATCAATGGGGGTCATCTAATAGTTATGACCAATCAAAATTACAAATATAAAGACTTTGTGATAAATAGCTTTCAAGATAATGAGCGGAAACCATACAAACATTTAAATACCCTGTGACTTTGATCTTTGACCTAGTGACCCAAAAAACAATAGGGGTCACTTTCTAGTTATGACCAAGCAGTATGTGAAATATGAAGACTTTGTGATGAATAGTTTTCAAAATAATAAGCGGAAACCATTCTGACATTTAATGCACCTGTGAATTTGACCTTTGAGATAATTATCCTTGAAGATGAGCTCAAATCAAAATAACATGCAAAGACCATGATCATGACCTTTGACCTGGTGACCCCAAAATCAAAAGAGGTCATCTTCTAGTTATGACCATTCAATATGTGAACAACGAAGACTTTGTGAAAATAATAACCAAATAATAACCGGAAATCATAATAACCTTCAATGCCCCTGTGACCTTGACCTTTGACCTAGTGACCCCTAATTGAACAGGGGTCATCTACTAGTTATGACCAATCAATATGTGAAATATGTAGACTTTGTGATGAATACTTTTTAAGATAATCAGCGGGAACCATTCTGACATTTAATATATTTTAATGACTACCAAATAGGAGCAAGTCAATGATGTCAAAACGCAAAATGTCATATATACTTTGATCTGGTATGCACACAAGATGACTTTATTGAATGTGGCATGAAATATAACCCTGATGTCTTTGGAAAATGTCAAAAATGTTTACGGTCGGGTTGTGGGGTTTATGAACACAACTCTCATTTTTTGTTACTCTTGTTACTCACACAGTATACATAATGTGTGTGGAAATTGAATGTGAAAACCTTGGAAAAACGAAATATGTAATTGCATGTTGAACGACATCAAACCGCGCTTACAACATTCTCAATTTGTCGTTTTAGACGTTCTATAGGGATTCCATTTGATCTATTTTGTTGATGATTATTTTACGGAAGAAAATTACGACTTTACAGTCTTATGTCATAAAGCCAAGGAATACGATTCTTAACCCATTCTTTAATATCTGTACAGAAATGCTATTTTACAAACATAATACGGTTTGAATTTTTTACAAATTTAACTCAAGAATTTTTCTCTTTAATTACGGAAAAATGAAAGGGATTTTCAACTATAAAAGACATAAAGTGGTTACATAAGGACTAACCTAACAGGACCCTGATTTCAATGAAATTCTCAAGGTAATATTAACTGTTATATTTGTTACTTTTTAACATTTTCATTTAATCAAAACTAATAGAGATTATAATGTAGAGAATATTCATAGTTGAGAGAAACAGAAACACTTTATAAAATATTAATAGTTTATTTTGAATAAAAGTTTACTACATGTATTTGAGGTATCAATAATTCAATTTAAAACTATTCTCATTATTTAATTTACATGGTTTATATCAAAGTGCCATGCACCGATAAAGTAACGGCCGAAAATTCCCTCACAACCCTATTGCCTCATTTATATAGAATAAAGCGTTGTGGACTCAAAAGAGGATGTTAACTTCTGCACTAAATGATAAGAGAATAACGTATGAATTTATTTTTCATATATATGCATCGTTGAATTACATGTTTAGATAAGTTCAAATGGATAACGTTATGTAACGATGCCTTTACATCTACGTGATAGCCGAAAGCAAATGGTATGCAAAATCTATACAATAACATAATATTATAAGGAACACGTTATTATTTGTAGTTTGAAGGCTTTGTTACATTTGTTTTAATTCTACAGATGGATACAAGGGAACAAAAACAATTAAACGACAATGGCCTAAATGACACGGCTAGTAAAGAATTAATTCTGATGAATCAAAATGATGAAATGGAGGATAGTCCTGATACAGAAATTGAAGAAACAGTATGGTTGGAATTGGAGAAAGAAGAATTGGATCAGGACCGCGGTGTATGGTCAAACAAAATAGAGTTCCTGTTGGCAATAATGGGTTACACAGTAGGTGTAGGAAGCATATGGAGATTTCCCATTGTTTGCAGGTAAGATATGTACGGCGTTTTCGTAATTGTAATCAAAATGAAACAGCATTATGATCACGTGTGCTCTGTTTCACGGCCAAATATTTTCATACTGTTGTGTTGGTAAACAAATTTAAATAAAACCGGTGAACAAGTTAATGGCCAACCAACCTGGCATACGATAATTGAATAGTTGAAATCTTTCAAAGATAATAGAAGAAAAAACATTTCAATTTACTAACAACTGCATATGGTATCAATATAGATGACATGCAATGCAAGAGTAAGTATAAGATTTTTGGATATGAAATGGTATTAGCTTGCAAATGTGATTTCTATCCTTTTATTTCATATTTGAGTAAAGCAAGAACAATTACAAAAATTTTGCTACCAATTTTGGTACTTCATATGACACTTTTTTATTGCGTTTGCATATGTGCTTATTTATGCCTAAAAGTTGCAATCGAACATTTTTGTTCTCTGTCTGCTGTCGTGAGGCGAACTATCGGCGTAAAGATATTTAAGCATATCCTCTCACTTCCCTTGTTTACTTTGAAATTTATTAGGTTAACCTCAAACGAATTTCAATCTTAAAACGGGTTTATACGACCATGCAAGCTTACTCTTGTTTTATTTTCTGCAGTCGGAACGGAGGAGGTGCTTTTTAATTCCATTCTTTTTCTGCCTCATCACCTCTGGTGGGCCTTTGTACTACTTAGAGGTTTGCCTTGGACAGTTTACAGGACAAAGTGCTGCACAAGCTTTTGAGTTTTGTTCATTGTTCAAAGGCAAGTTTACTTGGTAATAAATGTTTACCCTTATGTTTAGAGATATTGAGAAACTCTTGCAAGAAAAGTAGTGATATTGTTTAGCACCTTAATTACTTCAGAAAAGATTTAGTAATGTCAACATGGTCGCCATTATTCAAGCATTTTGATTCATTAAAATCTCTATAGATAAAGTAAAGAAAGTAATAATAATGTACTTTTGTATTATTGTGTCATTACTTTTCCGTGCATTAAATCATCTAAGTCATCATTAAGGGATTCTTTAAAGGTTTATCGACATTAAAATTTACTGTTAGCTTTATGCACACTTTACTATTTATTTATCTGATAACAGGTTTAGGCATTCTACAAGTCATATTGTCATTTACGGTGTTATGGTACGCGATGTGTGTTTTAGCCTGGGTTCTATACTTCTTGTACAGTTCTTTCCTACCCACACTTCCTTGGACAACATGTAATAACCCATGGAACACTGTTAATTGTACAGGTATTGTTTTGAATCGTTATGGTATTACGACTGAAAAACAACAACAACAATAAGAAAAGCTATTTTGAATAAGGATTTATAGCGCTTCTGTGCATAATGGTGTTTTTATTTACATTATTATTTTGTTTCTCAAGTTTTTTACCAGGCATGATGTAAAGCATATTTTCAGATGAACTTTCAAATTAAAAGACCATTATTGAATTATTTGTTCGTGTAGAAGGAAAGAAATTGTCAAATCGCCTATTAAAAGAACTTTAGAAATTTGTTATTTTACCTCAAGCATATTATTCAAATATTACTAACTCATGTGAACAGAATTTATAGGGGTGTGATTGGTTTTTATAATTCTGCTCTTTGGAAATTTAGATCTAAGCGTCTTGAAAGCTGAATAATATGAATGCATATTTTAGAGGTTAATGTAATTTATTTTCTTATTTTAGTCATATGGGATACAGTTTCTAATAGATCTAGAGGTACAGATACAGTTGTAACAAACAGTTCAGCCGTTAATGAACCTATTTACACTCAATCGAAATTATACAATAGGACAACCAACATGTTGATCGATCCATCTCCAGTTTCTCAAACTAATATAATATCATCATTTATGACATCAAGCTCTTCGGCCTATGAATTTTGGGAGTGAGTTTATTTTGTGTAAATAATCCCAACCGCCACATCGACATTAAAAAACGTTCAAAAAAGAAAAAAATCCTGCTATTCATGTGATAATGCATCTTAAATAAGTATCATTTGCTTACAATTATCAAATTGTGTTTAAAAATATTTTTTTATTAAAATTTTGTATTTTGCATGTATATCAGAAAAGTAACGTTTTTCAACTCCTAAAACACAGAGTTACTCTGCAGTTTATCATCAAATTATATCAGCTAAAAACTAATGGCAATATCGAATATACATGAAATTTTTCGTGAATCTAAAAAACGCAATTCGTGAGAATATTGTTTTTAAAGCTCACTCATTGAAATTAAATTTCATATTACAAACAAAGAAATTTTTTTAATACGAATACAATGAAGGTGCAGTTAAAATTAAATGATTATTTTCTTTTAGTTTTACTGTGCTACAATCTGTTTCTCACTCTCCGACCTCTTCTAGATCTTCCTGAACATGACATGAGTGCGTCATGATGGTGTTTTAATGTTTCTTTAGTTTTCACTTAGTTTTAACTTTGACATCATTAAACAAAATAGCATTTAAGATGTAGCTAAAGAACCATATTGACAGTAAATTATACTTTGTGTAAAGATGAAAATTTAAAAGAGGGAGTTATTTAAAATTTAAAAGTATCATCAATAATCAGTATAAGAACTATTCACCAATAATTACTTGCAGCATTCTTCCGATCAAACAATTTTATGTGATAAATAAATTTTTAGGCCATTGTCAAACTTTTACTTACAATATTTTAGGTATAAGGTAATTGGACGATCTCGTGGCTTGGAGGACATGGGAAGTTTACAGTTGCATCTTGTGATCTGCCTTTTCATTGCTTGGTTTCTTTGTGTGGCTGCCGTCATCAAAGGTGTTAAATCTCTTGGCAAGGCTAGTAGTTGCATAGTTTTTAATTTGTATAAAACTGCATATCTGCATTCTTGTCAAGACAAAGTTTATATAAAATTTTTACATAAAAGTTTTTGGCCACTTGACTTCAAACCACTAGCTTCTTGGTCGGTCTGAATCCAATCAGGGACTTTGGATCTTTCGTGTGAGGAAACAAACTAGGAATGTCGAATATTCAACGCAACTGTTTTTGCCTTAAATAATGGGCGAAGGGGCTACCGAGGTCTTTCTCCACCGAAAAATATAAAGCTAAACATTAGCCATTTTTCTTTTCCAGTGTTAGTTAGACGTTACACAGTATGGAAGTGCATCGATGGCACAATTAAAAACACGTCCGTAGAGCAATATTTTGATAAATGTCATTCTTTGTTTCAGGTCGTTTATGTAACAGCTACGGCACCTTACGTTCTTTTGACAATTATTTTTATAAAGGCTCTAACTCTTGACGGAGCAATTGATGGTATTAAAACATTCGTAGAACCAGACTTTTCAAAACTTCTCACAACACAGGTATCTTTGTAAATACTCTACACTAACTACAAAATTCAATGACATTCTTAAATTAAATGTTTTCGATTCTATTCACTTTTAATAGTGACTTCAATTCAAAAATTAAAAAAATGTATGCATTAATGATAATAATAATAAAAATATAAAAAATAATAAAAACCTTTAAAACTATAACGAATGAAAAGTTTTAAGGTAATTTGAAACACGTTAAACGCAGAAGTCATTAAGAGTATTGATTTTCGGAGGCTAAATTCCAGCATTACATCAGAGACACTAACACCACAAAAATCGTCAATATTTTACAAACATCAATGAAAACAATCAATATCGTAATTACTTAAAGTTAACTTACATAATATGTTTGACTTATAAACACTGTTTGAACAAATATTTGAAGGTATGGTTAGAGGCAGGTCTACAGGTGTTTTTGTCTTTAGGACCTTCTTGGGGAGGAGTTATCACCATGTCAAGTTATAACAAATTCCATCAGAAATCCTTTTGGTAATACCAAGCATGTATGATTTATGCTCATTACTTTTTTTATAAACGAGTGTTGATTTTGTATGGGCTTTTAACAGTAAAAATTAATTGGAAGCTTTGAAAGTCAATTATAAGCACTTACTCTGAAAAAGGTATTATAAAGGCCCATATATCATAAAAAAGCCTTATACTTTTATTTTTTTTTAAACATGTGTGTTGTATTACAGTTTTTGAAAGGTACTTATATGCAATAAATACAGCTGAGCCATTTTCTTGCATTAGGTGATAAACATCTTTTATGTTGTTACAAATCCATTATTGATAATCGTATATTTGAAAAGAATCCTATGCCTCTACCGGGATCGAACCAACTGCTCAAATAGGCAAGTGATATCGAAACAGCAACCTTTACCATAAGGTCACATAGGTACGTATGTAAAGGTAAAAGGTCATACATCATGTTACAGGTCCTCTACGATATGTGTCATCTTTGCTGGATTCACCGCTTTTTACAATGGCATGGTTGTGTTTGCTTTACTAGGATTTATTGCAAAAGCGTCCGGCATGACAGTGGCCAAAGTAGCGGAGCAATCAGGTATGTTTTCACTCATACATTTCATTAATGTAGTAAGATTAAGCTTAGCTATTAAATACTAAAAGTATCAAATGTAATAAAATAAAATACTGGAAAGGCATTATAACGCAAAACAAAAGGCGTTTGTCGTTCCCGTTAAAATTCCTTTGATGCGCGTAATAACGCCTTTTGTTTTGCGTTATAACGTATTTATGCGCGTTATTACGCCATTCATTTCTTTCATTTCTTTCATTAAAATTCCTTTGATACGCGTAATAACGCCTTTCGTTTTGCGTTATTACGCCTTTGTTGTACGTTATAACCACTTTTAATTTTTGAATGTTATTTCATTTGATACGATTAGGCTTTCGTACTAAGCAATTAGGTAGTATAGTTTTTATCATAGAAATTTTACATACATATACTAACTTTGTTAACTAAATTCACAACCGCATGAATCAAGGCGGCATTGCCATTAAATGGTCTATAGTTGCTAATAAATGAGACGCATAGATGACCAATGAATTTCTGAATAAACCTCCAAATTAAAATCATTTGAATCATGTTAAAATAAGCTTCTTTCAAGTCTTATTTTATCCATTTTCCTTACATTCAGACTTTAGATAAATGTAACAAGTAAAATGTATTAAAAAGATACAAATAGGTCTTACGAATAATTTTTTGTGACGCCTTTTCTGTTACAAAGATTATACGAACATACACATGTAAATAAAGATGCGGCTTCGTTCCCGATCAATATTCATATCGTGGTGGCAGGTAGTTAGGTGGTCAATATTCTAAAATAATTTAATTGACAAAATATCAAAAGAATCTCAACATCTGATTTAGCTGAATTTTCAATTGTTGTTATACATATGTAGGAAAATGTCATTATTACACCAACATGTAAAAGATTTTTATCAGTTTTCATTAAGATGATAGAATAATGTTAGATTTTGTTTTAGCTTAACATATTCAGAATGACACTAAAATGGCGGCCAAGGGAGGTAATAATTGCTATGAGAACAGCATCAATAATTTATTGCTGTTAAATTAACGTTTAATTTCTTCAACAGGACCCGGTCTGGTGTTTGTTGTGTTTCCAACAGCATTTAGTATGATGCCTGTACCACATCTTTGGGCAGTACTGCTTTTCCTAATGCTGATCACCGCAGTCTTTGACAGCATTGTAAGAAGTTCCATTGGTATCCGTTTTGTCAAGCATATATATATTTGTGATGTGTCCAGTTTTTTATATGGATCTTTTCATATGTTATGTTTTCACATGTTTGTCAAATGTGTCGTAAATGAACTTTCGGCTCATGTTTGTGTAGATTTAGAATTTTAAAATTACGACATTGTTTAAATTAACAATTATTACATTAATCTTGAAAAAGGAACTGTATATTACACAAATATAGCTGTAGTAATGCAGTATTACAACATATGAGTGCATTCTTTACTTCATATATAAATTATATTTGTACTATTGTCGTGAATGCAAAATGAACAGCCGTTTTACAATGAAACAGAACAGTCAAAGACTAGTGTTAGCAAATTTGGTTGCGATCATGGCTACATAAAAAATGCTTATGTTTCAGTTCATTTTTTATTTTCACAAATGTAGCAGGCAAATGTCCAATTTTTTAGACATTTTTTTTTTATTTTAGAAATATTGGGGGATCGGACATACACCATTTTTAGACAAACTTTCTATTAATATTGAGAAAATTGATTCTTATATATGTAGCAAACAAAGCCACATTATTTTTAGGTAACACATATATAAGTTTATAATTAGATGTGCAAATAAGACTAGTTCTTAGCCTACTGTATATCACAAGTAAATGAACAAACTTTGTTACATGTTTTAGTTTGGAATGATAGAGACTGTTACCAGCTGTATTATAGACCAATTTCCACGTCAGTTACTGAAAAGGCGCGTTCTTGTCAACATTATTACTGGATTATTTTTCTTTCTCACAGGACTTCCGCTCACAATGAATGTAAGACCTTCTACATGTCACTGCCAAGCTTTTTTAATAACGTATTTTTTTCATATTGTCGGGAGAAGAATAACTGCCTTGATGTTATTTAATCTAAGAAAAAAATTAGTAATAAATACTAGAACCAATTTCCAAGATATGGGGACTGGGCAGCACCGCCTGACTTAAGATTGAAATATTCTCAGTTGGGAAAACTAGCGTCAATTGTTTAGTTAACACTATTTCTTTAAGAAATTTTTATCTTTTCAGGTATTTTTATCTTTTTCTATCTCAAATTCATATATACATTTAAACAACAAATTCTGACTATTATATACACACAAAACAAAGACCTCTGATCATTATTGAGACCCAAAACAAACACACATCATTTATCAACTACTTATACGAAATATCTTTTCACGTTTACGTCTTTTATACGAAACAATACTAGACATCTGGCGAGCCCAAGCTTTACACTACTTATTATTAAACCAACGAAATGAAAAACACAAAAATGAATATTATTTCACAACTCTAAGATATAGTGTAATCCATAAACATTCAACCAACAATGTTAACTTCACAAAATCTAATCAGCATCAGGAAACAACTTAAAAAATAAAGCACCCAATATTTACATATATCCTCAAAAACAAAGCATTAACTAATACAAAATCACTCCGGATATTTAACAAATATTTCTTATCAAACAGATGTAACTCAACAACCAAAACCAAAACAAGTCATTATAACCAATAAACCCTGATCAATTAAGATCACCACAATTAAATTCAACCAACTTCAACAAATCAACAAAACTCCCTTCAAAACAACAAATTCTCTTCTCAACAAAAAAATAAATGCTACACACTATCAGTGTGTCTCTCCTAAACTGATGTAAAATCACTCCCAAAACTCGCATATTTTCTGTTTCAACGAATTTGACATTTACATGTATAGAGAGTTTAATATACGCACAGCAACAGGTTTACATTGAAATATGATACACTTCAGTGTATCGCTGTAGGAAAACATTAACTCTTTTAAAAAAAATATCTACAGTGAAACTGTATGATTTTTCTGACACATATGTATTTTTATATTTATAAATTCATTAAATTTGATTTTCAATGATTATTTCATAATAATTAATTAGAAAAAGTATGCCTTTCATAATATTAGTCAATATTAAAATGATATGCGTAATGTATTAGGTTTTAATGTATAAGGTTTTACTTGTTTTGGATGTTTACATGTTTTATGATGTCTGTCTTGTTGGATTGTCGTTGACGATAGGTATTTTCTCAATTCCCCCCCTCACCCATTTTAACCCCCCCCCCCACCTTTTCACCCTTACAGCCCTTATCGCTTTAATTCCCTTATGGGCCCGTTTTAGTTGATATTATTTCACATTACATGTCCCACTCGTTTCACCCTTATGTCCGCTCTAGGTTTTTTTTGGTGTGTCGGGGTCGCGTCATGTGAACGTTGCCTTTGCCTTGTTGATCTTTATTCTTGTTTTTTACATTTCTAGAAGCAGTTTTAAACTATGTAAAGAAATTTCTATGATTTTAGACGCTCATAAGCCGTTAATATTGATGCTCTTGATAAACATTAACGAAATAAATTGACCTTTTGATCAGTTTTGTATGTCCTATGTATTTGATTTCGTGCTTTATGTTTATATTTCAGGGTGGAATTTACCTTTTTCAGTTAGGTGACTGGTATTTCGCCCTCTTTGCTTTATTGTTTGGTGCTTTATTTGAATGCATATCAATTTGTTGGATATATGGTAAGCCTTTGTTTCATCATCGTAAATCATTCATTTAAATTCTTTGTGCAAGAATACTGTTGTTTTTTAATCTTAAACTGCTTGATCCGAACACCTTTAGCTTTTGCCTTTAGCCTGTACGCGCAGTATAACCGGGAACAATATTTTTGATTTTGACTTAAATTACTCAAAATGTACTGTACCACTTACAAAGCAGAGCAAATCCATTATGCGAATTCAGCAGATCAAGGATTAATATGATAAGTTGAATCGATCTGTTCAACTATCAGTATATGGTTCAAATTTCTTACTTAATAAAATTACAGAATCTAAGTAAAAGCCAAATTGAACATATTATATTTCACAGATTTTGTTTTATTATACAAGTACACTTAGGTTTTCCTTTCATACATTTCTTCATCGGCTGATTTTATGTTGTACTAAAATATGACAAAACACTTTTTTCAGGTACTGATAGGTTTGCCCGGGATATATATTTTATGACGGGGAGAAACGTTTCTGTCGTGCTTCGGGTTTTATGGACCATTACAATACCTTTATTTGTTACGGTAAGAAAGTCCTTGAAAAGCCATTACTTTATTTGTTTGGCGTGTTTTGGTTAATAGCGTAAAATACATATAAAGCGTCAGTGTTGTTTACTTTAATTATGTGTATAAAGTGGTTAGGTATGCATGCAACTTATCAAGTAAATAAATCATGACAGAAAACAAGCAATAATAACTGAATGATAATTTATAACCCTGATTTTAAAGACGCTTCATTTTTACACTGCACACAGTTTTCGCCGAATTTAGCTCTCCAGAGAATCTTTGCAATTTTAGTTAGATGCAAACAAGTAAAACTCATCGGATTTTTTTTTCAACGGCAGCTATATTATTGCCGGAGGAAGCTTTGCTACATTTGGCGGAGCTACATTACCCGGAAAGCTTTATTCGGCAGTAGTTCTTTTTTCAGCGAAAGCTTTATTCCTTGGAGAGGCAAACTCGTTGGGAGCTAAATTCTTAAGAGAGTTATATTCTATGTAAGCATTATGCGGTGTAACCCTGCATGTTTCATTATCATTTAATTAACTGTAGCAACTGTGTTGTCAGGTAAGTTGTGGAAGAATGTCGAAAATGTTAAATAAGGATTTACCAGCTTGCTCTTGACAGTTAAAGGGCACTTACCATTATGATGCTCTATTCAATTAAATAAAAACACAAAAAACAACAATCGTTACACTGTTTTGACTAAGGTAAATATTATTGTTATGTGTTCACACTTAAATTCCTGACAAAAAAAAGAAAATGGAAATAGAAAAGAATATAATGTAGTTTGTTTTTTGCAGATTGCCTTCTTAGCGTTGCTAACGCAGTATTCTGCTCCGGCTTATGGCGATGGGTATAAATATAGCAAAGAGGCCATTGCCTGTGGTATTTTTGTCGGTATGCTACCTGTTATGGCAATGGTCGCTGCAGGAATCGTCGCTGTAGCTTACCGAGATGGTTCATTGTTACAGGTATAACTCCATTCAAATATTTAATGAATCCTTATCCGGTTTAGGCTAAAACTTTGATTTGCTTTTTTGCCACCATTATAGAGCCTAGCCACCCCACATATTTATGCCGTCTGACTAGGCTCTTCATTATTGGTTACATCTAGCTTAATATCCGAAACTGATGTAAGACATTAACAAATGTTAATGCTAGGCAAGTCCATTTAAACATTAAGACGGTTAAGTGACGATATTCTCTCATCGGATTTATTAGACTACTTTTTAACTTTTCAAAGTAAAAATTATTGCATGGCATAAAGTTATATTTTCAAACAAAACAAGATATTATATTGCTTCATATAGAAATACTACATTTATGGTTTTTGTTTAATTTTCTTTGACAAAATAGTGTGTAAGAAAGAAAAGTTCATTACGGTCTGCATCGCTTTTTTGGTTGCGTTATGTTTAAATTCCCACACAATTACACAGAAAAGCCGTAAAAGCCTACGGTTACGCTCTTTAAATATTCCATATATACCTCAAGATATCGTGAATGTTATAGCAATATGTTCCTTTGTTGATAATGAAATATAAAATTAATATAATTTATAATTCATTAGTGTATGTGTGTATTTGAGTTTATGTATACTCGCTACCGGTTGCCCATATTGGCGAGACTTCTAGAAAAATATTAGTCATTTTATAATTTGGAGAATAGTGCAAGTTACAAAGAGATGCCCCAATTCCAGAAGCTTCCCCTAGTTCTTTAACGTGCTAAGTGTTTGAAAAATCATACACGGTACCTCGATTTAAAGTTTCATCCGAAACACTGATCAGTAATTTTAGCTGGCCAGCCCGGGAATCGAATCTACAATGTCGAGATTACAAATCTCGCGCTCAAACCGATTGAGCTATGCGGGCTGGTCTTGATTCATTCGAAGTTTGTATTATTAAAACATCATTATCAATGTGTTTTGACTATATTTGCAGCGTTTGGCAGCAAGTCTGAAACCTAGTGCTAATTGGGGACCGTATGAGGAAGATACTCGGGACAGATACCGTATGAAACCGTATATTTACCCATCCACATGGTGGCAAAAATTCAAAGAAAATATCACAGGAAGAAATGATGATTTTTCAGTGTGAGAAGGCCAATTTACGTGTCTTTATCTATATAATAGTCGTGAAATCGCCTTTGACTATTGAGTGGCGAAGACAAGAAGACACGTAATGGCAGAAATCTGCCATATAGAGAATAACATGCTACTGTTTTTTTTGATATCAATTTTGTCAGGCGAGGCTGATATGGGCTAGAAAAGGCGAGGCTTGCCGAGCCCTTTCTGCCCATATCAGCCGATACTGATAAAATTGATATCAAAAGACAGTAGCATGTTTTTCTATTCATCATGTAACATATAAAACTGTCAAAATTACAAAATAGTCTACTTTTAAATAGCGAATTTCGTAAAAAAGGGGATTTTTGTTCAAAGAAATAATTCTTGAAAACAAATTCATCCGCCCCTGAAACTTAGAAAAAATCAGCAGGCGAACAAAGAAAATGAAATTTTACGATCGTTGGTGTTTAAGTGGCATAAGAAATGTAGTGATGGACATTACTGTGAGAAGCAGTTACGGTCATTGAATCGGTAACGAGTGTGTTATATGACGTTGACGTCAATTACTTTTCAGAGTGCGTTGCTGTACCGATATGTGTTTATGTAAAATAAAATATTGTTGTAATACAAGAAGCTACTAACATGAATTTGTCTTGTCTGTGTTTGTTTATTATTTATACTTCTAAGCAGTGTAAGAATTTCAAATTAATATCTCAAATATATATTAAGCAACAAAGAAAGTCTACGAGTTTTTGGATAACCCTCGTATTTATTCATAAAAATACACTATTATGTAATAAACGTTATTAACACAGAATTACAAATAGAACTTTTGCATATTTCATAACAAAGAATTGATGATATGCTAAATTTCAGAATAAATTGCAAAATTTTCAAAAAAAAAAACAAATGTGATGTTTCAAATGACAGCTTAATTTTTTGTTGTTTCGATATGCTGCTGATTAAGATTTAAATATAGTTTCATTAATGGTCATGAATCTTCGATGGTCAGAAGTTCTATTTTTTACTTGACAGGCACTGTTATGACTGAAGCTTTGAAAATCATATCATGAATAATAGATCGTAATGAAAAGTGACCAGAATTTTCTTTTTAAAACAAATTCAGAAAATTTATATTTTATTGAAACTAATATTTACTTTTAGAAATAATTGCTGATGCCGGTTTTGTATGATTTTAAATGAAAATAGAATATTACAGCAACAATAATTAGATAGATTGAATTTAAATAGTTCGCTTATCAAAAATTATTAATTGTGATTTTTATTAACGTTTCACTTGCGCATTTTCCCTTTTGATATCAAAACCGTTAACAGAGATAAATCATTTGTTATGCCTGTCGATAGAGATGTGTGATTTAATGAATAGAGTCAAACGGAATCCATAAATATTTGAAAATGTAACAATACCTTACATTGAAAGTTTAATACCGTAGAAATCATGTTTTGTTCATTATAGTAGACAATGATTTGAGTCTCGACATTTCAGAAACCTCGTTTGTTATCGATATTCGATTAGATTTAAAACAAGAACATGTCTCTACGTTTGTTTCAAAGTTCAGTGATCAAAGAAAACTTCCTGTTGTGCTTTACTTCATCATCATGATCATTAAATGCCTTACTACATCTGTAAAATAGTCAACAACTGCTTATTTAAAATTGTCAGAGAGGTTAAATAAGTCAACTGACACAAGATCACACGACGAAAAGCATTTTAACACCTAATTGAATAAATTAACACGCTACATTAATATAATAATACCCAATAAACTTAGCTCAGAAATCTGATAATGTTAGCTAACCAGACATGACAGACAAAATAAAACGTCATTTGTTATCGTAGAAAATATTTTTTATACATCTTATTCTGCCATTAATAGCAGACCTACGGAAGCTTATCAGGGCAGAACAGAAGAGAAAATTTATTCAAGACTTGTACATGGTACATTATCTTACAATTTGTACAATTTAAATAATTATACTAAACAATAGTCACATGGCATTTTATGTACATGAATATAGCTATACAGCTTTACTTACATATTGTTAACAATAAAAATATAGATAGAGAATAGAACATGAAATATTCTGCTTACTTCCTACATAGAGGATTAACCCATTCATTATTACATATTATAAGACATGGATGTTCTATTTGCCATAACATCTCTGATATTGTAAGCCAAGTTACACAATATTTTCTTATTATCACAATTTAACAATTTAGTAAATTGGAACATACTTGGTCTTATATAGTAGTATCTCTTTATAACATATCATATTTGTTAAGAATTTCAAGAAAACAAGTACATACATTCTAATATATAATGGTACTCATCTTCGATATCACGAAGGTTTCAATATATACAATATTATTCATTAGCACATGACTCATCTATTTATGCTAAACAATTTAAATATATTTAAAACAGGTGCACTTAAAGTTTGATTTTTTTTTATTTACAGGGTGAGAAAAATGTGCAGCCTGGGGGAACTAGAATCCGAAACTTTTGACAAACGTTTCGCGGCTTTATCGATTGAGCTGTTCGGCCGCTTATACGTTTTCTCCACATATTATCATATATAGAAAGCATTGCATGTTTTAAACAGAAGCAGAATTATTCAATCTTAGCTGTTAATACATGTTACGTACTTAAGAGTGGTAAGTAAGATGAAGTTTAATATTATAAGCAAAATAGAGACGATATTATTTATAATGATATAATTTTAGAAGAATTTATTATGAAGATTTCTCCTGTTAATGGCGCAACACAATAACATAATAATGGTCGAGATTGAAACCCTTATTTATCGCCCATCAAAGCAAAAATAAAAATGTTACAGGCTTGGTTTGTCACCTATTTTTGTCATCGTGAATTCATAAAGAATAACGCCACAATTTTGGAAAAGCCAATTAGGATGATTGAATAGAAGGTGTGGGTTACATCAGAATATTTTTTTCCGAAATTAACTTAAAACATATAACCTAGTCTGGAAAGTAGGGTGAAGAGGAATGATTGATTTGGTGTATAATTTCACTAAACAGCTTAGTGTTTTGACAGTTTTTGAGATGTAAGAATATGTAAATGATCATAATGGCGAGAAAACTTCATTAAAATGTTTCGTTTTATTTCGTACTGGTTAAATATGACATTGATACAGTTGTTTTTTCTTTTGTATATGAACGATTTCTATTTTCTCTAAATTGTAACATCTAAACCGTTCCTGTGATTTTTTTGATTTTTTGATTTTATTTTTTTTTGTGTGCAATTGTACGTTTTGAACTTACAATAATTTGAATGAACACAGAATGATTGTTTAAGTATAAAGTTTGAAAATGTTTGACAAGTTCAAGTGGCGTTACTCGTCTAATTAACAAAGTTTTAGTTTGTTATTTTGTGATATTACGGTTTTTCAAAATAATCTGAAATTAGAAAAAGGAAAGGAATCCCTAGAGAACGCTTGAAATGGCAAAATTGAAAATGTTGCAGTTTGACAGAGCCTTACATGGACCATCGCAGACTATCGTCCACGCTCTTTAATAACAAAGCATATGCATTTTTAATCAGATTCATCTGGGGAAAAGTGGAAAAGTGAAATCATTAAACCTATAAAAATGCGTGCAGCCTTAACCAGAAAGCGATATGCGAAAATTAAAAACCGTGAGAGCTTCAATTTATGTATATCTTTTCTTTTTGCATAAGCACAAACAGTGACACATGATCAAGAAAACTTATTAATGAGTACTTTGCATACAGTACCAATATATTGGTCATTGGTCATTTTCGGTGATGTCACTTTAAGATGATCCTTATATTTTTGTATGGATCCATATCTCTGATTCTTATTGCAATCATTTTATCAAATTAGCATCTATATAATCGACTAGATATTTTTTCTGTCGCTACAATAAGTCTAGTGATATTTGTCCCATTTCATCAAACATTAACAATGTATCATCATGTACTGGAATGACAAGTGACATATATCACGTTTATTTATGTCAGTTAACAAACGTCCAACAGTCCATTCCTTCGACGGAAATGAATAATTATTATCGTCAATGGCATTACAATAATGGTGATAGAATATTTATATGAAGGATCTAAATGATCAACGAAAGAAACCTATTTGCACAAACAAGTTCAACAATGAAAATATCAAATAATGAGTATAATATGAGTATAATTTTATATAATTTTTAAGTAGGTAGCTATTCCATAGAGTATGTAATAAATACCATACGGAAATCTAAAGTAATTGCGCAGTATTAATATATTTTATTTATTTATTTATTTGTTTGTTTGTTTGTTTGTTTGTTTATTTATTTATTTATTTATTTATTTATTTATTTATTTATTTATTTATTTATTTATTTATTTATTTATATTTATTTATTTATTTATTTATTTATGTATTTATTTATTTATTTGAAAATATTTTGATGTAAATTGAATGAACGAACAACAAAATTCTTCCTGTCTAAGGACAAAAATTATTGGCATGTTACGCGTACGCTCAAAGCTGAGCAAAGTGAACACGACAAAGAAAAACCAACCCTAAAGGTATTGCATGAGGGAGTTATTGCTAATTTCCAATGCATCTTTCGATATTTATGTCAATCAATATGTATCAAAATATCGAAGATAGTTTTAATTTGTTTAAAGTCATAATGACACTCAGTTTCACAACACACTGTACATATGGCGACCTTCTAGCTAAAACCTCAGGTTTCCCTTAGTGCACAATGTAAGGCACGAACGGACAAAGAAGTTGAACCATTTCACTATTAATATTTAATAACTGAAATTTCCAATATTTCCCTTAAGTCGGTCAGCATTATCCTAAACACTTACATTGGAAAAGTATTCTATAAGTCTAGTCTTTCGTTCCCATCCTTTCCATTGTGTAAAAAATATCTTGTTTGTTGTTAATATGTATGTATATTATGTATATTTTTGGGAATGAATTTGTTTAAAACAAACACTTACGTAAATCTATGAAAAAATTAGCAGAAATTTTGCACTAATGTCACAAAGGTGAAGTCCCCTTCCATATGTTACACGAAAAGTCGTTCTTAAAAGACCAACATAGAAAATGTCTTTACGTTCTTTTTTGTCTGTGATATCTTTGATACGTTTTAAGATGAAAAGAAATTGGTTAAATTGTCAACAGCTATTTGATAACTAACAAATTAGACATAAACCACAGAGAGCGCTCTTTTAATTATATCTTGATTATATTTATGTGTTTTGCACAGCAGCAAGCAAGATCGTAAAAAAATATTATGAACGTAAATAAAGATGAAACTATTTTCTAGACAAATTCGCATCCCTGTTTCAGATTTTCATATCAACTTAAAGTGATTTATAAAAGATTTATTTTGGAAATTACATGAATTTCCTAGAACAGGATGCCTACTTTAATTTTTCTTACTTTATGATTATTAACGACCATTAATTGATTATTTACTTAATGATGATTGAAATGAGTGCGTTTAAGAAATGGAACACAATAATGATTTACAACAATGAATAATGCGTATTATGAAACCTAGAATTGAAATAGGGGTGAATTTCAAAGTTTGCTTTGTTTAAATAATATTATATGCTGTGTTTTGTGTT